TTTGCAAAGTTGATTCAGTTTATAAACATTTTCTCAAAATCGATTTTTAAATTTTTTATCCTCGGAACAACGCCATAGTAAAATCGCGTGATGCTCAGCACTCGACAGTCGTCGCTTCGTTACTCTCGTTATCTATTCGTCTGCAAGCACATTTCAAGGACGTACTCGCGCTGTTACATGTGCTACATAAGGCGAGACGTGCCGTTTACGACACATTAGCACTAACGAAAAGAAAACCCGAGGCAGGACAGTTGGCTCTAAGGCTTCGCAAGATTATCATTTTGATTTCGTAATGATGCATACAAAATGCTGTGAAGAGTCGTAAATTTTGCTAGGCATATTGTATTCTGATAAGCTTTCAAGCACGTACAAGGGGAGTTTGAATATAGACATGGACATACTCCTTAGTCCCTTCGACCATTCCTTAATTTTAATGATTTTTCAAGCTTTATAATTGGGCTACATTTTTCACTGTCCCACTCTCTAAAGTAGCAATGATCAAAATAGATTTAGTGCTGAGCTAGTGTCAGAAAAATTAACTGTTTAGAGCAATTTGGAAACTGGAAAGAAAAAGCGCCAAATGCGGTATGTGCAATGGGTTGCCGTACTGGTTATTTCCAAAGTTTCATAACTGCTCAGGTTGCTTAACATGCGCACCCACACAGCGGCTACATGTGAGCAACTTCCGGAATTACTGAATTCCTCTTTAATATGCCAAAGATAAGAACAAAACAAAGTCACAAGAGTTTTGGCAATTTTTTGGAGCCAGTTCGAAAACCATCTTTTTTCTAATTAACTTGTTGCGTATAAAGCTTAGATGAAAGTGCAGCGAAACACGCCAAACATAAAAATATTGTATCTCAGCTGCGGAAATACTACCTATGTTGTATGTTATCTATTATTTTCTATGTTCTCTTATTATCTGATACACCAGCTTCAGAATTATGAAGTATAGTTTTCAAAAGTCGCTTGCAGAAAAATTTGAATCGAGTCTCGTAGTATCTATACAGTAACCCAAATAATGATAGTACAGAATGTGGTGCACCCTATCTTTTTGGAACACGACGCAGATGAGAAAAGTTTTGGTGTCTCTCAAGCTTAATGACTTGGCCTGGCGAGTAAATATAGTATCATTGCTCAATATGATAAAGTGAAACAACAATTTG